AACACGCTCGTCACCTTTGACACCGTCCGTGGATGACGGGACGACGACTCGGAATCACGAGAGGAACGTCGAGTCGACGTCGATCGGCGAGAACGATCGAGGAAGATCATCCAGGCGAAGAGGACGCGGCTCCAACAGCGGGAACAACGACGGTTCCTCGAACGTTTTGTCAGTGGTTTACGACATAGCCTGTTGCGATGGCCCGGTGAAGTTTCATCGAGTGTTGAACGAGAATTACTCGTCGTCGGCAGCCTCGTGCGGGGTCGCCAGTACCGCGGCCGCACAGTCGCGTTTGCAAAGGCCGTGTTTCGAGTCGGGGAATCTCGCCTCATCGGGCGAGAATGACGAGAACGGTGGACCGACGGCGGTGAGGACTCCGCGGTGCGACCAGATCGAGTCAGCGATGGACGCGGACAACAGCAACGGCAGCTACACCTGCGGTTACTGCAGGCACACCTTCAAGTCTCAGTACTGTTACAGAAAGCACACCAAGAGGCACTTGTTGCCGACCAGGGCGACCGACTCGATCGGCAACCGACAGAGGCAGGACACCGCACGAAACAGAAGGGAGGTCCGGCTGTTGGACCTGAACGTTCAGTATTATCCGTGCAAGATCTGCGGATGCAAGTTCCCCAGCTATTATTTCGTCCACAAGCACAGGAAACTGTGCCACGCGAATGCTAACGAAGAGAGAATGCAATCCGACGAAGCCAACAGCACGGCCAACGAGGATCAAGAGTCGACCACCTCGACGACCAACAACGAGAGAAAGTGAACACACTTGCCGATCAACAAGAAAGGAAAGAAGAAGAAGAAGAAGAACAGATTCGCTTCTTGCGTTCTGAAGAAGTAAGTATGAACACGGTGATAGATAGTGTTAACATATCAAGAGATTTGGCTGGCTGGTGACGATGGAAAAACCAACGAATACAGGCGAACAGTGATAATGATGTTGATACATTAGCTATTGACATTTCGTCTGGATACTGACAATGGAAATACTGACGATGTTCAACAAGTGAAAATAACATGTAAACGCGGAAAGATAGGTGTAAGCATAAGCTTGGAATGATGTTATTAACAGTCGGCGTTCTATTAGATAAATATTACGATGTACGCGATTAATAACGATAGATGATAATAATAAATGATAATTCAAACAAATTCATCGATGGTTACGTCTTTAACAATCGTGTATGAAGAGTAGTCTTTTCTATCAATCGGTTTCCCTCTGTCAAACTACTGAATCTGCAAATTATCGATCGTTGACGTGTCAAGTTTTTATTATCAAATATTATAATATTTAATTACATTATACTGTACCTACAAACAACATATGTAACATATGTTCTAATCATAATGACAACAATGATGATGATGATAATATGTGAAATGATAACATAAGAGAAGGTAATTGATTGTTTATAGTATTTGTTTCAGTATATGCGACGAACGATCGTAGAAGCAATTACCGAATGAAGATTAAAAAAAAAAAAAAAAAAAAGAAAAAGAAGCAATCGATAATTGAGGTAGAAGTAAATTACCAGCATTGAAAGTTCTTGTTATTTTAGTTTACGAATTATGTCGTGATAAAATTTAAAATAACTAACTTTAAAAGATGTTGTGTAAATTGATGAATTATTAATCACTCTGCCAATGTTATAATAGCTAACGATCCACACATGTACGACAGAGTCTAACTTCCCACGTTGTACGATTAATAGTAAGGATTTGCAATTAAAGAATGAAGAAAGAAAAGGTATATGCATGAAATTGTTTAACATAGGAATTTCAAGTGCTTTCAATCAAATATCGACTTGTACTCATTTAATTGAAATCTATTGCCGATTCTCCGTTCAACCGTTTCTAAAACTTTGAAAATCGAAAAAATATTCTATCCGACAGGATTTCAACCCCTCCTGTCGCTGACAAGATCTTAAATTAAATGAACAACGTAATGAAAAACGTAATCAGATTAATTCAAACGTTTCGTTCCCGAATTTCCCGACAGAAATGAACAATTACACGCGTCGCGCGAGTTCTGCGATGAAAATTGCAGAAAATTAATTCAAAGTTTTTTTTTTTTTTTCTTTTTTTTCCAACAATAATACAATGAAAAACAAGACTGATTCTAAAAGTCAGATCGAGCAAAAAAAATTGTTCTCCGTGAAGTGAAGAAACTTCTTTGTGAACGAATGCTCTAAAAAAATAAAAACAAAAGAACGAAAGAAGGATAAAAAACTTTTTATCAAGTACATACAAAGATAAAATCACGCCGATTATTCAGGCGCTTGTTTGATACAATTTGTCATCAAATGTACATATATAGAAAAATAAAATCACGCCGATCATTCAGAAGCTTGCGGTACAATTTGTTCCGGTAATGTGGTAAAAGATTGACAAAGCAAACACTAGTATAATTTATTTAAGGTAACTTACCAATGGTGTCCATTGATTGAGCTTCCTCGTCGCTGGTTTCCATAGGGGCGGCGTGATTATCTTTTTTCTTCTCCTTTATCCTGCTCGCCGCCACCACGTTTCCACCACCGCCGTTGTTTGCCTCCCTGCAAACACGATTTCTTCCTATTAATATAGCTTTCAAATCAAATCTCTCTTCAATTTTGTAACAACAAACTAAGAAATCTGTCAATTTCTATTAATTATAAATTCGATGAAACTCATGCTCAATAATTCTGCAAAACATTCTCATTAAAGATTTCAATGTTACATACTTTTTATTTGCATTCGCAAAAGTAAAAAATTTATTTTTCACCAGGTAATTAAATTTACTCGAAAGGTGAGGTAATTTGTTCGTGCGGATGTAATTTAAAAAGAAATATCTGCATGAAATCGGTTCGACAGTCTTGGTCGTTCAAGGATTCGAAAAAAAATTCAAAAATTCCAAAAATTCGATAAAATTAGGGAAACGAGAAAAAAAGGAAGAAACGAAAGCATTTGCCGGTACGAGTGCAATTGCCGCAGAATTAATAAAACACTCTGTACATCATTTCTAAACGAACGAGGGGAGTAAACACACCGGTCTTCAGGCGGTTCAGAATCAGATTTTCAACGATCGACTCCATTTCGATGATGAATGCCTACGTAAACATAATCCACTAACCATTGATTAGCATTACAATCTGCTAATAACTACCCTACCTTGCCTCTCGAACCTTCATTTTACCACCACCTTCTATTTCCCCCCTATCTATCCTCGATTCAACCCCCTCTCTCATCTTTTATCCATGCGCTTTAAACGATTGTTTGTATTTTTCTCAGTCTCTTTCTTTTTCCATTTTCCCGACAATTGCGATTGCCGCGATTTTCACTGGTCGGTGGCTTATTAAATTAATTTCTACCTTTGGAAATTTCGTTTGTAAAAAATTCGACGAACGAAGGATGAAAATTATAAGAGGAAAATGATTTGCAGAAGTGACGATTAAATTGCCTCTGCACACATTGATATTCTATCACGTATATGGATTGTTTTGTTCAAATTATAAAAATAAATTAAAAAACTGTTTAGAAAGTTTTTAGACAAATAGTGGAAAAAATTTTTAAACGTAGCAGATTCTTAAAATTGTGTCCAATGTGTTTACACTGAATTCGAAAATTCATAGTTTTAATAGTCCCAAGGATGCAGACAAAAGGATGCATGCAAGTATCTATAATACATGAAATTTAACTTGTCAGAAATAACAACAAAATCGACAATAGTATAAATGGTTTTTACGAGGTGAAGACGATGAATAATTAAGATTGAAATTCATGTGATATTTTCAGATACAGTTATGGCTATAAGAAGATTTGCTTCTAACATGTTATGATAATAACTTCTTACCACAAGCTTCTTGGAACAAATAATACAATTTATCAACATACTATGCTGTTTTATAAATAAAAAGATGTATGTAACACACTGATTCCCTGAAACCTGCATACATCACACAAGCTTAAAACATTTATAAAATAATTTATACAATGCTGCATATCACTACTCTAATCAATATTCTAAAAGTACAAGTCAGAATACACAAGTTTGATCAAAGATCTATGGAAGAAATATATTCTGTTCAAAAAAGTTTTAAAAATGTAGTTATTTTCTCCTTCTTCAAAGATTGTAATAAGAAAGACATCATTTATATTATTAAAATACATTCAGTTAATTATTTAAAAATTCTATTTTAAGCTTTATAATAGTCAAACGTAATCAAAGTAGAAATAGGAATAATAATATTTAGCTTGGTAAGCAATTCTGTGTATATACATTTGCGACTAAAATATCGATCGCATCGAAATTCCAGTTTCGAAGCAATGAATCAAATGTTTTTATAGGCAGGAAGAAGCTCACAGTAAATATTATACTGTAAGTTTGAATGTGTTAAATTTATGTGTCATTGCCGTGAAAAATTTATGTAGTAGATGATGTTACGTACATTACTTTGACGTCCTTTCCCGACACCGTTTCGGAACTTAATTGCGGCTCTTCTTTCACTTCCACTTTGATAAGGTGCGTCTCTTTCGACTCCATTTTATTTTCTTTGTTTTCCTTATTGATTTCCCTATTCTCTTTTACGGTTGTTGTCGTCGATGACGTTGTGACAGATGATGTGGTGGTGCTCAACACGGATGTCGTTGTAGCTGTCGTTGATGCTATTACAGAGTCCGTTGTCAAACATATACTCGACGTTGATGAACTTAAAGGAGTCGTCGAAGTGGTCACTATTGTTGTTGCACCAGCCGTTGATACACTTGACGTAGTCGTAGTTGTCGTCGTCGTTGTAGTTGATGTCGCTGTCGAACTGTTTTGAGGATTCTCTTGTGTTTTTTGCTGTTGCTCACGTTGCAACCTTGTCGTAACACCCGTAGTTAAAATGTCTAGAGTTCCAATATTTGAACTGGTATTATTTACCTGGGAAAACAATTAAAAGAGTTAATTAAACTGTTACAAAATTAACATTATTATTGATTGAAGATATTTGTATACATGAGCTTATATATTATATTATGAGCTTAGAAGCGTATATGTATTCAGTATTCTATAATTTCTTTCCAACTTGTTTTATCAGAACTGATCCACAAATTTAAAAAAGATATTTACATACAAGCTTAAATGCTATGTTTAAAATAGATTGATAATATGTTTTATCTCTTAT